CTGGATAACACAGGACCGAATCTGTCAGAAAGAATCAGTTTCCTCAAGAGTACAAGTGTACATTACCAACGAGTGCCAAATATCATGAAATCTAGGTGGATCAGGGTTTCCTGTTGACTGCCTCCAACCCTCACCTTACATCTCAGTAAAATCCACACAATTTCAAGTCATTTAGACCATTGAGGACATCGCGATTTGATCAACAAAATTCGATCAGCGCTAAATAAGAATTTGGCATACATGACAATAATCACTACTCAGTGATCAATTAACTGTAATTTATTCATTTATTTGAACACATAAATATTGGTACAAAGTGGCACCAGATATATATGCGCCACACAAATCTCATTTGATTTGTGTGAGGGCTATGATACTGCCTAGGTGCCCAAACTGAAGCAGTTGGTTTGTTTAGGGGCCCACTCCCGGAGCCTTTGACCTAAAAATCTGATCCACAAGGCAGTGGAGAATCGTAAGGAAATGCAGTCTCATGGTAGTCGGCGATCAATGGTTGGTTCATACGCCATTTGTTCCCTCAGGATCATAGAGCCCATGTGATCATTGGTTTTAAATCAGGGTTTTCCAACTCCCCTGGGTGGACCACCCGTGTCCACCAACCCGGTTAAAGAGCCGAACATTCGCTTTTTTTCCTCTCAATTTCGTAAACACCAGTAATGTTGCGAGGAGGTAATGAGTAAGACTTTCCTGACAGAGGCTGTATACACGTGGCCATATGAGGGCACTCGGAGAGGGAGAGCTGATCCTCTCCACTCTTGACCGTATCAGTGAATTTGAGGGCAATTAACTGTTAAGGTAGACTCAATGATTAGACAATGGGAAAGAAAATTCCAACAAGATAACAAAAAAATAAAATAGTTAAAATGATTACAAAAGTAATATTGACGCACCATGTTTACTTCGTGTATGAATTGCTTGGGGCTATGAGTCATATGCTTAAGAATCGGTCACAATGGTACAAATCAATTCATTTTTTTTATCTTTCTTTAAATCTCGAATTTTGGAATTATATTATACTTTTGTATACGTAATCTTTGCTATTTTCATAAATACTTTTACGAATTCTGCCACTCTTGATAATTGCATTTGTCTGTGTTGACTTGATGTAAGGAATTGAACCGATATATATGGTATATTCTATGTTACTGACTGATTGACTTACAGACACACTATAAAATATGACGAATGAATTACAGTTGAAAGGAATAATTTTGTGCTCATACGCATATGATTTTTACCCAAATTCTTTATTCTAACTATCTGTATTATGATTATTTTAGCAATCTTTTAACACAGTCTACTGATTCAATCCACAGTAGCTTCATTGATATTGATCATGTTTGCTGCTAAGAATAACTCAGGTTACCTGATTTATTATTATTATTACATGTTAGTCCTTTTTTAAGGGAGAATACCTAGATGACATTTCTCAAAATTCATATTCCCTTAACAACGTTTTCTATAACCTAATTGGTTGCTATCTTCGTTAGTCTGATAACTCTGTTGTGTGCTCCAAGGTAATTGAGCGTTATGATATGAAAAAATTATTTCCCTGTCTGTTTTTGACTTCTCGGAATATAAAGTCAGTCGTAAGGATTATTAACGTTGAAGTGTTGTTGTATAAGATGTATCCTATTTATTCATTCGTCCATATGTCTAAATAGCATTTGAGCATTATTAATGATGTCAGGTCGTGATGAAAACACCAATCCTAATTTCTAACTCTAAATCCTAATACTAATTCCTCAGACTAATTTACAACAACTCGCTCAAATGTCAACCATAAACTATAGTTCTACCGGATCCTCAATAGTTCGTAAAAAGACCGCAAGTTAACCACAAACTCCAAAATTTTAACTTTTATTATTAAGATTTGACATTTACACCTCATTGAATGGAAAGGTTCACCATAACCTCTCTTTAATCCCAACACTAATATTATTCATTTAATGTTGGCTCCACCGTACTCTCAAGAAATACTTGAATGATATTTACTTAACAAAAACGTACATTTATTCGACCCTTATTTATATCAATCTGATATCGATCTGATTACATACAATTATTTCTTTTTTTGATGAGATCTTACTTTGATAAATCAATATCGTGATTTTTTCCTTTCGGGTTCCCTTTAGATTCTATTTCATTTCTACATTCTTTTTCTTTACTACTTCAACTAGTTTTTAGTACATTTTTGTCCTTTTTTCTATATTTCACGTCATTTTAGTTAGAGTCGAATATGTGACAATTTGTGGGGGATGGTTGTTGCTTTCTTTTTTAAGTAATTATTCCCTGATTTTACAAATGACAAAATCAGTTTACTAATCTCAAAATATATAATGTCAGTATGTGGCCGTGGAGATTGTTGAATTTTATTGAAATCATGAACCGATCAATGTTAGACGACCATTGAAAAACCTGGACATATTGGATGGCCATTTCATCCCAGTGCAGGACTCCTCAGCAATGAGCAATCACGACTTCTCAACCGGAATTCAAACACAGGATATTCCGTCTCGCGTGTGAACGCTTAATCCAACGGTGTTAATGTCTAACTTTAATCAGTCCACAACATTTCATGACCTTTTTCCCATTGTCTTTGGTAAATAGCAGTGTTCCATCGCGATATCAATGGTCCTAAGTTCGAGTCTCTGTTGCGAGGTCTCGAATGAGCATTGCTGAGGAGTTCTGTACTAGGATGAAACAGCCGTCTAATGTTTCCGAGTTTTCAATGGTTATTTAACTTTGATCGGTCTATGCAAGATTTCATTGGAATTAAAACATTTTCACAACCCCGTACTGATGACATCATTAATTTCAAAATGTGACTTAGGTTGTGCAGCTTGATCGATAAAATTCAATCACCACAAAGGTCTGAAGTACATAACCTTGATAACTGTGATTGACCAGTCATTTCAGATATCTGCCCTACATATAAAAGATCAGTCGTGGTTGATTTGGTTCAACGATAACATTTCTTTTTTTAATACTGATTAACGTAGTTTTGAATGGCACACAGAGCATCTTCTTAATAAGTACCAACCAACAGGAAAAACCTAGCTCAGTTGCTGCTTGTTAAATGCCTCTGAGTATCTGGCATTAAGATGGTGTATAGGCTACAAATGACCAAGTGTTGAGTGAACCACTATCAAGTTCACATACATTCAGTAGAGCTTAGGAATTATCCGGTAATTATCTTACTACTTAATTTCAAAAAGCAGCAATATGTCGATTTCACATGAAAATTTAATTGCTGACAGATTTTTACTACCTTTTATCTAAATAATGTGTACTACTTAATTTAATACTTTCGGGTTACAATATATGCAAAGTTACAATTGAAATAACTTGATACTTAATCTGTTATACGTAATATGGGAGTTGGTAACAATTAGTCTCATTTGACAACATAAGCTAAAATACCTACACACGTAGCCAATGACTATGGGCAATGCAAATAATGCATAAATTATTTATTATAACTAATAATTATGTATGTCAAAAGATTGTGATGTCAGATGGTGACAGACTACACTACAAGGTCTATATTGAATCAATGTTTGTAGTGGGCGTTAAATTCTGCAGTTTGATTGGTCACTTATCCAATAATCATCATTGACATGACTAATATATTTTTTGTGGGCTTATTCAAATGAGCCAGTAGTAATTGAAACGTTTCTTGTGTTTTTCGCCTACTTTGATATTTCATATGCTCAATAACTGTTCATTTTCATTCAGAATATTCTTCTGCTCATTATAACTCAGTGATGTAAATATTTTAGGTAATTATAACGAGGAGGGTTTTATGGAGATTTTAGTAACTTTATAGTTGAAATCATGAATCGATTAAATCTAGACCACCATGGAAAACCTGGAAGGACTGGATGACCGTTTCACCCTATTGTGGGACTCCTCAGCAGTGCTCACCCACGATCCCGCCTCGTGAGATTCGAACCCAGGGCCTATCAGTCTCGCGCGTGAGCGCTTAACCTCTAGACCACTGAGCCGGCACCTAACGGTGTTAATGTCTAACTTCAACCAACGAGACCAATTTATGATTCATACCAATGACATATTGTGATTGTATAGGAAGTGACATTTAGGTGGAGTGTGGATGGATAAATAATGATTGGAAAGAGAAATAGATTCTTAATATTATTAAATTTGTATTGATTCCAATGTCGAATTGACAAGAAAGAACCTACCACCACTTACTCAGCAGTGCGCATCCACGGTCCCGCACTCGTGAGATTTGAACCCAGGACCTACCTGTCTCGAGCCAGAGTCCTGGGTTCGAATCTCGCGAGTGCGGGACCGTGGATGCGCACTGCTGAGTAAGTGGTGGTAGGTTCTTTCTTGTCAATTCGACATTGGAATCAATACAAATTTAATATTATTAAGAATCTATTTCTCTTTCCAATCATTATTTATCCATCCACACTCCACCTAAATGTCACTTCCTATACAATCACAATATGTCATTGGTATGAATCATAAATTGGTCTCGTTGGTTGAAGTTAGACATTAACACCGTTAGGTGCCGGCTCAGTGGTCTAGAGGTTAAGCGCTCACGCGCGAGACTGATAGGCCCTGGGTTCGAATCTCACGAGGCGGGATCGTGGGTGAGCACTGCTGAGGAGTCCCATAATAAGACGAAACGGCCGTCCAGCGCTTCCAGGTTTTCGATGGTGGTCTAGCTTCAATTGACTCATGATTTCAACTTTGAGAAATATATATATATATATATTGCTGGAGTTTTTTTTCTCTGAGCTGGATGGTTTGGTGATAGAGCTTTCGTCATCAGCTGAAGATGTGGTTCAGCATAACGTTGAAGGGCTTACGAACAAACCATCCAGCTAAGACAAAAAAACCACCAAAATCATCCACCTGAGATGCGAATCGTCACCATCTCATATATATATATATAATAAACTACTGTAATTTTATTGTGCTTTTATGTTTTACTGTTATATTCTTTTCAGGCTACTGAAAAAAATATTAATTGTGTTCAATCATCACTTTGTCCTGATGAAATAACTTTAGATGCAAATGAAAACTTAATGCAAAAGCAACAACAACCACATAGTCGACATGAATCTCCAACTATACATACACATACGGGCCACTTATATTCTCCAATATCACAATCATCATCATCATCTACCTTGCATTGTAAATCATCCCACATCAAAGTTCAACAATCTCAAGTGCCACATTGTGTAAGTGTTGAATCTCCTTATCTTAAAAAACAAGAATATGCTTCATTTATGTCTAATGTATACAATGACACGACACACTGAAATAAAAGTGGGGAAAAAGAAGGCTATTCCTCACTAATATTTTTTTTCCATTCTGATCGCTTACTCTATCACTACCGTCCTCCTCCTTCTTTTCATTCATCCTCCTTTAGTAAGTGGTGGTACCCTATATAATTTTGAATTTTTAATGTACAGTAAAAAGCATTTCTAATTGAGTTTCTATTTCTTCGTTTACTGTTTTAATTCTGTGTTTTAAAACTATTATTATTTTTCTTTCTCTGTGTATTTGCGTGTGTATGTGCGTTCTAGATTCATTCGTCTTAACAATTTTACCTCACTATTTAATAGAACATTTTACAACATTATTTGTAAAAACTACGTTTAATCTGATAACACAATGGTAAAGGAGAAAACAAGGTAGTAGCAAACAAGCGAAACCTTGTTAATAACTTGGTTTACTTGTGTGTTTTCATCATTCCTATCAATTTATTTATATGGATTATTGAAACAGTTGTCATCATATGATATTATACAACACAGAGGAATCTCATTTGATGTGTTTGATAAACAATACCCTCAGTTTCTACTGAGACTTTGTGTGTTTGATCTATTTCTCTCTCTTTTGCCTATTTCAATAAGATGATACTCGTCTATGCTGATTTCATCTTCATAGAACGAGTTTTATCATGGGATGCATATTTTTTAATTTATGCTGATGAGTATTTTTTTTATCAGTGTGAAATAAAAGTAGAACGATCAGACAACAGACCTATCTATTACTTATTGTACATTTGTTTATTTAACAGCTTGAATAATCGTTTACAGGTTGTACATTTGTTCTTTGTGTTGTATACCTCTACATAATTTCAAACTTTGTTTCATATGTACTCAAAGTTAACTGTCACATACTACTAAATATAAATGTATATGCATACACTTATATATATATATATATCTATATATATAATTTCAAACAACCAATGGGCTTTCAGATTTTTTTTTACATCGTACAGCTGATATAAGACAAATGTGATTGGTTGAAAGTTTGTAATTCTGTTGGTTATTTATTCTTCTTTGATGTGCATTCCAGGATAGTTTTGGTATTGCACCTATTCTCTATATCTATACATCTATCGATGCTTTACTGCATTTGTGTTCTATACACAAAATAATATTGTATGTACACGTTTTTTTTTTGCATATTCATTTTATGAATACTATTTATTTCTAAGTTTCCATCACTTTTTTTTTAAAATTGTTTTTGTACAGTTTTTTCTCAATTATTTAATAATATTATTGATTTATTTTCTTGTTACAATACCAGTATACTAAACTTCACCATACTATAATATACTACACCACACTAAACTAATCTTATCTAATTCAATGTTCATTACTTTTGTCTATGCTTCTTTGTTTGTGTGTGATCTTGTTTCTTCTTAATTTAAATAGATTCTTTGCAGTTTTGTGTATCTATTTACTTGTATGTATGTGCGCGTGTGCTTTCTTTTTATTCGTGGTACGACAGGACAAATGAATTAAATTACACTTTAGCACATAAATCTTCTATCAAAACGATAAAATAAAGTATGTAAACATTATGATATTATGGTAAGCAGAGATGGATATTGTTCATTATTTTCTTTATTTAATCTGTGAATTTGTTGACTGTTCTTTGTTGGTGTCTGTCTACTGTTTATACTGTGTTGCTTTTGTTCAATTGTTACCTGTCGTTTTTTTTGTTCTTCGACAGGTAATCGACAGTTGTTTTCTTCTTTAATAATTATCTTGTTATCACAATATTTTTATTGTTTTTTTTGTTGATCTTGTAAATAAGTTATAAATTATTTTGCATAAAAAATAATAATAAATTATTTGCATACAAATGACATATATACATACTACATTCTTGAAACAAGTACTGTGTATTAGTTGATGACGTCATATCCTGTTCAACTTGGTCTTTTTATCACTGGGTCACTTACTGTTTTATTGTGTATGTGTTTTGAAATAAATTTCTTATTAGGAGTAGGGGATGGAAAGTTAAACTGAATACCGTATCGAGATGTAAAACTCTTCATTGTGTTTCATACGTTTCATTATAATATATAATTGAAGATGTTAGGTTGGATTAGCATAGATATATCTGTTCTTTAATTTTCCCAAAAACTTCAGCTCTATTTTATTCTTTAATTCTGGTCATTGTTGTATGGAGAATATTGATGTGGGTAGGCGAGCCGAATTTCGATTGGCTAGCAAAAAGTTAATTTCTGTCTTCAGATCATTTTCATCCTATCGGATGATTGAATCCAACACACACTCACATTAATGAAGTGTATAAAAGTGAATAGTGTTATTTTGGTACTACAAACCTGCTATGAATTCAAACTTCATTATGGTCGCTTAATTATGTCACTAGTTTATTTTATCCGCTAATGACGAGTACGTTTACGTCAACAGTGCCAACGACTTTCGCTTTTCCGGTTGTACTAACGCTGATTGTCTCATATCACCTCTTCCTACCCCTGGTATTGTCAGTCAGAACGTAGAAGAGTTTATTTTATGACTCGATATTTATATGACCATAAGCGTCAACTTCATTATCACAACTCGCCCGAAATAGGAAATCACAATCTGTACACAGATTGAGTAACGAGTACATAAATATGAATGTTAGAAGACGTATCATCAGTCAACTACACATAATTAGGGAAATGTAAAAATATCGTAAGACAATTATTTAGCAAACCCAGACTAAACACATCATAAGATATTATAAGCAAAGATGAGTAGTGGCTAGTAGTGGAATCCACGACGCGCGTTTCGTCCTATATGAGACTCGTCAGCTGGGTGTACCTGAATCTCACAGTTGATGTTCACTCTGGGACTCGAACCCAGTACCTTTCGCTTCAAACTCCATAACGTTATTCATTCAGCTACTGAGTCCTGATAGCCACATCATAAGATAGTTCTTAAAATTCTGCCCTTTCCATCTATTCACCTATATCTAACCTATCTTTATCCCTATATATATATATATTCCAATAACCACCCGCTAACATAAAAATACAACCATTTAAAATGGTACAACTCAATGTATTTAGTAACGAAAGCGTGATTTTCAAACACACGAGAGAGTATCAATTTATAATTAATGGCAATCAACTAGAAAAGGGGAAAGATCACGAAAAAAACTAAAATGGTAAAAAATTCACTCATGGTCATTATTCTTAATAGGACTGTAGCATTATTAAACAAAATTGAGTAATTTGACTACACGATGATCAATATTATATTGTAGGTTTTTTATGTATGGTGCCTTTTTCGCTTTTACTGTTGTTGTTTTGACTTTGTTGACTAGTTTCGTCCTGATACACTTCTATCACTATGATTTAGTAAAAATTGAAGTGATTGGAATCGGTTCCAGATGGGTAATATGTTGTTTATCACTGACAACAGTTGTTTAGATTGAATGACTCCATTATAGATTAAAAATAGCAAAAAATATGAAATTGTGACGTGTTAACATTTTCAGGATTGAATTATGTCACCTTGGGTATATATGTGTGTATCTGTCTGTCTGTCTGTTGGTATCCACATCAACCGACTGTTTAAACAGATGTCATAAATATTACTTAGGACTCCACTTTTATATTTTATGATGACGGTCTGAGAAAGGGAATCTAATCAGTTTGTCTTGTCGTATTTTTGTACCTGTTTAGTGTTTACAGTAAAGTATTACAAAGCACATTGAAGTCTGAATCCAATACTTTTGGTTTTTTTTCTAAATTTAGAATGAAACATAACTCATGAAGTTCTCCATATTAGTGGCTAGTCCAACTAATACCGATAGTGATTCTAATACGACTGGGACCAGTAAAGTGATTCTGCTAGGTACTTGAACTGTCTAAATAATGAAAAATGAACTGTTTGAATATATTTGACAAAATTATACATTAACTTATTATGAGATCTGTAAGTTTTTCATAGGCAATACAATTAGTTACTTTTATAGAATTTGTATATAACACTCGGTGTTCCCTACTAGATTCGTTGTGATTCATACAATTACGTTACGAAATAGATGTAGATCATTAGTTAACTCCCAATGGTACTTTATCCTAAGTTCAATTCAGGAACAAAACTTTGGTGAAATTTATAAGATATCTTCCAGTTGTTTACTGATAACAAACTTTAAAATAATTCATTCTGAAATCACTGAAGAATTATAGTATTTTCTTTGTCCACCTGTAGTTAGAGATAATCAATATGAAACCTTAGATTTATTTTTCATGCTAGTTGGTACCCATCAAGTAGGTGCACCTACAGTTTCCAGTAGACTAATACTTCCTGTGGGATTTGCACATTCGTCACCCAGCTTAATAGTCTGAAACGTTACTACTGAACTGATTTGGGGGTGATCGATTTCCTCCAGGATTGAGATGGTTAGTGATCATCTAGCAACATCAAAACACATAGCATACAATCTCCATTAACGTATATATATATATATATATATATATACTTCCCAGTTGTTATTGAACGCCACAAATGTATATTTGTTGCACAAGACAAATTTTTCGGTGTAATATTTGTACACTACGGGATTGTCTTTCAGGTAAATAAGTGAAATCTAATAAAATTTATTTTGATTGACCAATGAACAGTGATCAGCTTATGTATATCTAGTCCTTTAATGCAAATTGAACTTCATCAAGATTGTAGAATTTTCATGGTTAAATCACGAACTGATCTTAGCTAGACCACCATAGAAAACCAAGACGCAGCTGTTTCATCCTAATGTTAGATTCTTATGAGTAAGCACACATGACTCTAACACGAAGGATTGAATCCAGGACCCTTGAGTTTTATGCTCAAATACTTAAATTCTAGGCGATTGGGCCGACAAATGTGACTCGAAACGGAAAGTGTAAAGTTTCAAAATGTGTTACATTGAATATAGTTAAATTCTTTTCTTTTTGGATAACTTACCACTTACATATTGAAAAAGAATTATGCGATAATCGTCTTTCAGCTGAAAGTAATCACTGACATTAATATTCTTTCTCGATTATGTATTTCTACTTTAATACGCCACATGGTATTCTGTCTATATTGTCCGTATACTTATGTATGTCTGTTTATCTATTTATTTCTGTCTGTCTATGTAGCATACAATTCGGCTGATGTACGTCAACCACTTTTTGTAGTATTAACAATTTTAATTAAGGAAGAAATCGATGTGACGTAAGTTTATTTATCATTTCATTTTATTGATAGTTATGGCGATTTCTTCATTCTTGTATGAATGACATCATTGTTGCATTTACTAACAAAGATACTGTACTGGTATCAGTGATATATATATATATATATATATATATATATATATATATCACTAATACCAGTACAGTATCTTTGTCAGCAAAAGATAACCATTGACCAGTTGCAGTTCTAAACATCAATGGGAAGATTCAAACAAACAATACTAAGTGAATTTAAACTTCACCCCATTGCACAAACAAGTGACTATCAGAACTCAGTAGCTGAGTGGATAATGTGATGGTATTTCAAGCGAAAGATACTGGGTTATAGTCCCAGAGTGAACATCAACTATGAGATGTAGGTACATCCAGCTGACGAGTCCCAAATAGGACGAAACGCGCGTTAAACTGAATTCCACTGCTAGCCACAGTTCATTTCGATTAGTTGACCCAAGAAATTTATGCAATAAATTTATTATTTATATACCATTTATGTTTGTTTCATTTTTAACCATAACCGAAATTGAGGAATAATATAATGTTAACTTATTTTTTAATACGTCATATAATTTTGTCATTTCCTACGTAATTGTAATGAAGCGAATGGGTAATTGATGGATAGATAGACATTTTTTTGTTAGCATGATTCCAGATATTTATCTGCATCATTAAGCCAAATAGATTGATAGACAGACAGACAGATAGATGGATAGATAGACAAATACTTCAACAATATATTGGATGAGAAGTGAATTTTCATCTTTCTGAAGAATGATGAAACATTTCATCAAAAGTCCATATTGTGATACTCTGATAACTGAAGTCATTAATTTCTTAGCCTCATGTGATTTTCCGTTGTTAAACCTTTTACAGAAAACAAGTGAGAAATATAGATGTACTTTCTAAAGTTGAATTATATACAGAAGACAAGGGTATTCATAAGATTATATATGGTCTTGAGAAGAGAAACTTATGTCAAAGATACTTAAATGCATTTTATGAATATTTTTTATTATCAGAAGAGAGTTTTGTGAAGATTTTAGTAATTTTATATGGTTGAGATCATGAGTCAATTGAAGTTAAACTACCATGGAAAACCTGGAAGCACTGGAAGGCCGTTTAGTTCTATTGTGGGACTCCTCAACAGTGCGCATCCACGATCCCGCCTCATGAGATTGACACTTACCAGTCTCGCAAGCGAGCGCTTAAACACAAGACCAATGAACAGGCATCCAACAGTGTTAATGTCTAACTTCAACCAATCCACGAAATTGAGCAACCATTCACCAATGTCTTCACTAGTGACTGGCTCCATAAGGTATTTCCTGGAGTTCTGATGAGCAGCATTGACCAGTGCCGTTTAACCAGGTCTGTTGTGAAATAGTAACTCACTAAAAACAATAGTCGACGGTTGCTCAATTTCGTGAATCGGTTGAAGTCAGACATTAACAACGTTGGATGCCGGTCAGTTCGGTGGTCTAGTGTTTAAGCGCTCGCTTGCGAGACTGGTAGATCCTGGGTGTCAATCTCGTGAGGCGGGATCGTGGATGAGCACTGTTGAGGAGTCCCACAATAGGACTAAACTGCCTTCCAGTGCTTTCAGGTTTTCCATGGTAGTTTAGTTTCAATTGACTCATGATCTCAACTATATTTTTTATTTGATTATTTCGTGCAAATCAAAATCTCTCAAGTTTTGTTTTGTTATATTTTAAGTGATTTTTTAAAGCGTCATGTACATTAAATTTGTCCTTGTTTTGAGCTTTGTATTTTATTATAATTATTTCAAAATATAGGTAGTATTCACAATAGATTGACGTCAGTTGAGGGTAACATTGGAAACTGAAAAGCACTGGATAATTCTTTCATTCATGCATCAGATGGTTCCTGATGTCATATTTGCATACCGTCTTAGGGCTCAGTTTGTTTAATTTAAAGGAGTACATAGCTTTAGGAAATGGCTACGCATTTGAGGTCTCAATGAGGATGACATAATAGGCAAGTTAGCAACCAGTATATGCTTAGCATTACTATGAAGGCAAAAATGTACTGACCAATTGAGATGAATAATCCAATTTTTAGGTTGCTAAGCAAATGCCAAAAGAGGATACGGAGTGAATTCGAAACATTTCTCTATCATCTTCTAGTTTCTACTAACAGATTATCTTGCTTTCATGATTATATCATTGTTAATTTGCACCTATTTTCAATAATAAACGTAAGTAGATTTTATTCTCTGGGTTGCCAATTAACACTTTCTCTTATTCTTATGTTTTCCAGATGTTATTAGATGCTTTTCTGTATATTAACCCCGAGCACAGCATGCATCAATATAAGATATAAACATACTAGAAGCCTAACATTACAGTGTTCACTGTCAGTCTTCAATAGTAATCGATCACATCATAGTTAATTTCAATGAAGAATATATTATAAACTACATACAGCATGAGGAATTGTTGAAAAGACACTAATCTGTCATTATGGATATAAAATGATGGGATAAAAATTGAAGTATGAGATGAAATAATGCTTCATTACAATATGTACTGGGATAATGTATTATTGAAAAAAACAGCCCTGTCTTATAAAAACTATACAAACTCTGTTCCATTTTACATTTTATACAATAGAATATTCATTCATATCAATCGTTTCTTAATTCGGCAAAAAATTGAAAGACTTTCTATAAGTTTATTCACCCAGTTATTCAAGCTTATCGATGTAATTAATCTTTATCCTTCGGGTACTTGTAGAAGTGTTCGATAGTAAATGAATCATACCTAACAAAAAACAACTTTCTTTTATTAAGCCATTTTCAATATAATTCTTTAGAATTGATAGAAAACCTGTTGTATCATCAAGGAATATGAATGCTAAAATGTAAATGCAAAAGTACACTAAGCCTTCCATTCATTCGAATACATTTGGATCATCTGTGAACAATCGTTTTTTTGTGATAAACGTCTTCAAATATAAACTAGCAGACAAATTTACAATCTGTACATAATTGTACTCATCTGATTGACTATATGATACTCTGTTTACAGGATCAGTATAACATAGTATCTGCTTCTAATGTGTCATTTTAATTGAAAAAAAATCTTCATTGATATCTGATATAGGCCCTATACAATCCACTTCATGACATGCATATACACACACACTCATATTATACACTAAATATAATGATAGGTTTTGATTCATTATGAGCCTTAAGACAACCACTGATTTATATGTTTATATATTTGTCTTACAAAACTCCACATGTATAAAAAAATCTCATTCATAATCCTCAAAATATTTCAAGTGAGTAATATGTACAGATAAGCATTTGACAAAATAGAAAGTAATTGTATAGTTGAATTCATGAGTCAATTGAAGCTAGACCACCATGGAAAACCTGAAAGCACTGGAAGGCCGCTTCTTCCTATTGTGGGACTCCTCAGCAGTTCGCATCCACGATCCCGCCTCGCGAGATTCGAACCGAGGACCTACCAGTCTCGCGAGCGAGCGCTTAACCTCTAGACCACTGAAATGACGGTGTTAATGTCTAACTTCAACCGATTCACGAAATTGAGCAACCGTCGACTATTGTTTTTAGTGAGTTACTATTTCACAACAGACTTGGTTGGACTTCACTGATCAATGCTTCTCACTAGAACTCCAGGAAATACCTCTTGAATTCAACCATAAAAATTACTAAAATCTTCACAAAAACCCTTTTGAAAATAAAAAGTGATATATACAGCGATTTCTCAGAATGAAAACAAATTTGGCGACATAAAATTAACATACAAGTATATGTACATAATATTGATGAAAAATTTGACGGAATAATTACTGTTCGAAACGATTCATTTGATTGTTTAAAGTTATACTACTGAAATTTAAAGTAAAGTAGTTCAAAGTTATCATCACAATAATTCTACCATTTCTTCATTGATGTTTGTCAGTACTGATAAGAAGTGTGATATATGGAAGAATCTGTAACACTCAATAAAAAATTGGACAAACACTTGCATTTACTGGCACTTTCATCATTCAATAAACAAAACTGTAAATCTTACATATAAAAGGAGATAGGACAAATGAAAATCCCACAAGGTGGGCTGCTAGAAATTTTTGATATGAAAACAGCCAATTACGGAGTCAACCACAAACACTCTTTAGGTTGATGAGTTGCTTTACCAAGAAAACAAACCTAAAGGAAATGGCTTTCGGTTTAACTGACTTCTACACTGAAAAATTCTCATCCCTAGTGGATGGTTCACAAATTTACCTCCAAATTATTCACAAGCACCAACAAACACTATTTTATCTTCATTTGGAGTGTGGTAAATCTTTTCCTTTCGCTTACGAAGAGTATGTTGCGAATTCGATTACGGGACTTTCTTTAACAATTTTACATCCGATTTATGGATTGTCTGGTTGAGCTGGTCCACGAAATATGTCTACTGATATTAGGGTCTATTGGGAAAATTATAATTTTTCGGTGATCACAAATCTGTGGCCTGAAACTGTGACGAAACAACTCACTAGTGCTCACTGATTGTCATTAGTTTTCAGTCGACTTCAAGAAAGCTGAAATGTGCTAACACAAATTTTATACATTTTTAAATGAGCTAGCAGCAAATGAGATATAAAATTTAGGTGGCTGGATGATATCGAACGGAAGTTCATGATCCAAATTTCGTATTGATCGGTACTGATGATCAGAGCGGTTCTCCAATATCCAGGTGACTATCACTTCACATAAGATTTAGCAGTATATCTATCATCGTTGTGTCACAGATATTATGAGTGGAATATTTCTCCCACATCTGACCTCTTTTCATACTATTTGATAGTATTATCATATCATCAGTGACATGTTGTTTAATCTTTGTCCTTGATCTAATTTAATTAACATCGCGTCACTCAATTTTGTGACTATATTTCACCTTGATAAATTATTACCTAAAATCGAACAAAGGACAATAAATTTCAATAGTAATGACAAACTTGAAGGACTTCTAAACTGAGCTTAAGCAACTTTGACTAATAAAAAACAAAAATATTCTTGTTTTATTCCTTTTTGCCATTTAAACTTGGATTAATTTTGATTTGGTTATTTATTCTCTGAGGAAGTGGCTTACACTGATTCACGAAACGTCAGAAAATCTAAATTTTCTATTCATTGGGATATTACAAATATTCTATTTTATTTAAAAAAAGTACCTAATGCTCAATTTATTCTAAGTTATCAAGTCAAACCTTGGAGAGTATACCTACCTGTTACGTTATTGTTTGATTAATTTTGATGCTGTCTATAATCAGTTGTGCTTTGGTGTTGAAATCAGTGGTTGTTACATACATAATGAAATCTTTATCTACAGTCTTGCATTATTCTTTGCATTAGGCCTTATCAATATTGTTCGGCAGTGATGTGTAGTCTAGAGAACACGTGCGGGAATTGTCAATCGGATGTATCCCAATCCTAATGTTAGTTTACTTATTGGAACTGGAACTATGACAACAAACGCCTAAGCGTTATCCGTTAAACTACTCAGACCAGATAGCCACTAACCTGTCCAAAGGGTATAATTTAAAACCATTTTATAGTTTAAAGATTCCCATCATATTGAAAGACTAATATTTGAATGAAAACTATTCTTTTCAAATCTGAAGAGAATTTATCGAAAAGAATATTCTTCGTTCAAATATTAGCATTTTATAGCTGATATTATAGAATATTCTAAATTTAGCAACCATCGAAAATCAGGAAGCACTTAACAGCTCTGTCATCCTAGTAGCGAACCTCTCACCCGTGCACATTTACGATCATACGAGGGATACAACCCACGACCTTCAGTCTCTTAGAGCTTTCTTAACTTTTATATGGATGACCCGACACCTAATCGTCCAAGTATTTAACTTCGAGAAATTCTGGAAATCATCCAACAATCTTCCAATGAAATTTGTGGGTGAATCATCCCTCAAATTCACTATCACATGATGTTGTGGAGACTATTGAGCACTATATGTGATTCATACTACTTGTAAGTAGTATAAAATTTAAAAGCAATTTTATCGCTATTATTTGACTGTTACTAATCCTTTTTGTTGTCATGATGGGTGGATTGAAAGGTGAATATAATTCCATCTAGAATCCTATGGAAAATACTCATTCTCGCTGTACTGGATGATCTGTGTTGGTAGTGGACTATCACTTTCACGAAATGTCTATACTGTTGATAAACAATTTCTAGTGAGGAATATATCAATCTAAAACTGATGGATTAAATAATTGGTAAAATAATGTTCACAGAAAAAAGTAATTACCCTTACTATCAAAACTGTTATGGCGATCGAAGATATTTTAATTTATCCCGTCAATAGTGATCAATTCAAGACATTTATGGATTGACCCAGGTTGTCACAAAAAATTATCGTTACAACGAGATGAATTTAAGAAATAACAAAGAATCATAATAATGAAACAAAAATTATGGTAAGAAAGACTGAACATTGAGAATATAGTTTGAAAAGCCAGAGTGGAATAGTGAAATAAAGGAGCTCGTGGCATAGAGAAAGAGTGTGTACATCTGTACTACTGTGACCCATTTTGACAGAGATCATCCAACCGCTAATCACAATCATCACGCTAATGCAAAATAGATAGTCTTCACCCACTAATATAACTTGTGTAACTATGAATCAACCCATGAACTCACTCTTTATTTTGGTTTACTACTTTTAGTTTTCTGAAAATCCACTCCTACAACCACGAAGGTAGGCGTTGAGTGAATAGATGAAATACATGTCCAAACCACCTCAAACGATCTGCCATCTTTCTCTAGTATCTTAAACTTAATTTGAACGTTAGTCACTCAGTCGTCCAACAGTAAACGAGCAATACTTCGACAAAAATCTTGAGTCCACAGTACAATTTACTTCTGATTACTTGTACAAAATAAGTAGACTGTGATGTTTTTCATGACATGATTTCTCCAAACACTTTTTATCATATGAGTTTGCGAAGATTGATTAACTTATTGTCCGAATTGTCTACTAACTTCGGCTAGATGAATGTTGATGGCCAGAAGGCACTGTAGTGGCGTACTGTTTTGTCTGAAGCTAGAAATGTAAACCAATAAATTCCAAAAGAGTGGTCCGAAAGTTGACCACTCATTATTTCTGAAGATCCTTGTTTCCGTCTCTTTTAAAATCGTGGGTATACACTGCTAAGAAGTCCCATAAGCGGACGAAATATCCAGCTGTTGCTTTATGAATAGCAACGATTTTCAGGATAAAGTTAGTCAGTAATTTAAACTAAGAATATATATATATCCTGAACTATCCACTTGTACGTTGGAAACTTCAGTCATTCGTTATAATGGGAAGGAAGAAAGTCTAAAGTTATTTCTGAAAACCAAACTATTTGGAAATCATCGTACACTAATTAACTTGATCGATATAATATAACTAGTGTTAAGGTGATAGACAAACAGAATACTGGTTTCCACCCTGCGACTAGTCAATTGTAAGTGAGTCTCAATCCTACAAAGAGTGAGACTCCAATCGAATAGCTTAGTGGTAATGTCTCAAATTAGGAAGCTGAGTAACGCAAGATCGAATACACCACAGACCATGGTTCGAGAAAAAGATTTCCCTGTTCAACTATGTCATTTACTAAGGCTGTACAGTTGTATTACTATTATTAGTTATTTAACAGATATTACTCTAAAAACAAATAGGCAAGGTATTGGACCATCATTGGGTGATAGGAAATATTGAAATATCGAGCCAAATTTACATAATAGTTATTTTAACGGGTAATTAGAAAACAGATTATGGATGGGAAGTGTGAAAAACGGTCAATCACTTGATGGATATAAAGATGAAGGTGTGAAATTGTGTTATAATTTGTAAAATCAGAAGGATCAAGATCATGGTTACATTCGATATTGAATATATCTCCTTTAGACATCGAGCATAGGCTTGAATTATGAAGTTGTCATAGGATATCTTATTTACACGTTTGTGGGCTGTATTCTTGTCTTACACTGGTTTGTTCTACTTTTTGGGCAATTTTGAGAGTGGCTTTATCTAGGGGTTATATGACCAGGGTTGATGTGATGCTCGAGAATGAACGGTCGATTGTTTTGACAGACATGTAGGATAATAGTTAGGAAATATGTTTAGAAAGGTCACGCTTTGTACATACAATATTACATG